CATGGTTTAAGCAGAGCCAGTGTCCACTCCAAATGGGGGTCCACATGAATAGATTTGACACTGCATTGACCTACTCCTACCATTGCTCACAGCTCATCAGGGGCTGTATTTCCCAAACCTGGAATCTGTATTATTAATGGGGTTGTACTGAAGTGACAGGGTGGTCTCAGTGTATAATCCTGATGGTTGTTAGGGTACCTAGAGAATATTTTTTTTCCAGGTGAATCACCACTTTAATGTCTGCAGGGGACCTTCAGGGAGGTGGGAGGGGGGTGCGAAGAAGGGGGCAGGGGCACCAGGGAGCAGGTGCAGAGAGTGAGGGATGGACAGATGCTCCAAAGACAGAGATCCTCATGAAGGTTGCTGAGGAGCAGATGCTTAGCTACCAGAGAGGTGGTCCCACCTCTGATGGGAGACCTAGAGAATATTTTATGTAGATTTCACATTTGATGAAAACCAAGCTAACAATCATTTAATCAGGACTAGAAACAACCCATAGGGTCATTGACAGTATCTTAGAAATATAATGAAAGACTTCATTATATAACAGAAACCTTCATACTGTTTTCCAGAATGTCTGCACAAGTTTGTATTCCCACCAACAGTGTAAGAGGATTCCCTTTTCTTCACATCCTTGCCAACATCTGTTGTGTCTTGTGTTAATTTTAGCGATTCTGACAGGTATGAAGTGGCATCTCATCATGTTTTCGATTTGTAGTTCCCTAATGATGAGTGATGTTGAGCATCATTTCATGTGTCTGTTAGCCATCTTGATGTCTACTTTGAAGAAATGTCTCTATATGTTTTCTACCATTTCTTAATTGGATTATTTATTGTTTGAGTATTGAGTTTGATAAGATATTTATAGATTTTGGATACTATCCTATGACCCAGCAATTGCACTACTAAGTATTTACCCAAAGGATATAAAAATGCTGATTTTTTTTTAATGATAGTCACAGAGAGAGAGAGAGGCAGAGACACAGGCAGAGGGAGAAGCAGGCTCCATGCACCGGGAGCCCGACGTGGGATTTGATCCCGGGTCTCCAGGATCGCGCCCTGGGCCAAAGGCAGGCGCCAAACCGCTGCGCCACCCAGGGATCCCCTAAAAATGCTGATTTAAAGGGGCACATGCACCCTGATGTTTATAGCAGCATTATCAACAATAGCCAAATTAAGGAAAGAGCCCACATATCCACTGGCTGATGAATGGATAAAGACATTGTGAGATATATATGATATGGGTGGAGCTAGAGTATATTATGCTAATTGCAGTAAGTCAGTCAGAGAAAGATAAAAACCATATGATTTGCTTCATATGTGGAATTTAAGAAACAAAGTAGATGAACATAGGGAATGGCAAAAAAAAAAAAAGAGAGAGAGAGAGAGGGGAGCAAACCATAAGAGACTCTTAACTATAGAGAACAAACTGAGGGTTGATGTAAGGGAGATGGGGAGAGGATGGGCTAGATGGTGATGGGCATTAAGGAGAGCACATGATGAGAAGAGCACAGGGTGTTACACTATATGTTGGCAAATTGAGTTTAAATAAATTTTTTTTAAAAAGACTTGAAAAAATAAAACCTAAATTTGTATTTTAAAAAAGAATTTAATTAGATGTAACCAAAAAGAACATTCTAAAAGAACTGTTATATCTTTCACATTTTTTAACACTCCAAGCAAGTTATAGGATTTATATTTACATTTCTTCTTATCTATGTGCATACTTATCAATTATAGAGTTAAATAAAGATTTGATCCCAAAAGGTCAACTGATTTCAGGGTCAACTCAGTGCTTTTGTTAAAATTCTCTCACAGAGTTTCCACAACTTCTGGTAATTTGTGACCATCTCCAGAGCACACCTTCCCCATCAGGGCAGTGGAAATGGGATAACAAATGGTCATGATATCTATTCTGTTAGTCTTTTAAAGGCTCTGCAGATACTGGGCTTCATTGAGAAAGGGTAAAATTTTTCCCTAAAAGCAATTGGATTATTGAGTTCCTGGGAGTTCAATAACGAACACTCTCTATTTCTCATTTCTCATTTTTAGCCCAGAGTCTGGCTGATTTAACTTCCCCTTCACACCAACTGAGGAGAGGAGGTGAGTAGTACTGTCAGCACTTGATTTATGAATTTTGGTTGAAGGCATGGACAATCAATCCTCATAGCCTGTTTTCCTCGTATTTTCTGTGTGTTCTCCTTGAGGTTTGTGTGGCAGGCAGATGTCATGAGACTTTAGTGGTTGCAGAAATGGGGTCAGATTTGGTGATGGAGACATCAACTTAATAACATTTAAAGGCATGAGAGAACAGTAAATCTTGAAAGACTTTACCCCTAAGGTCTTATCTGATGACAAGGAAAACAAAATAATAAAAAAGTAAATTATAGGAAATGAGAGGTCTTGAGACAACAGGGCAAGGTGAAGGTATTACACAAATATGAGTTTTATTTATCCTTCCAGTGTTGGGCATAATGAATGAAAATGAGTAATCAATAGAGTAATGAATTTAAAATCAGAATTTGCTTCCAGTTCTGAGTCTTATACTCAACAACTGAGTGATACTGGTGAGGGGATCTCATCTTACTATTTCTTAATTTGCTCATCTGTGAAAGGGTAGTGGCACCTGCCTGGTCATCTCCCAAGACTGCCATGTATGTAAACAGCAACAACAAAACAAAACAAACAAAAAAGAATGTCTTTGGAACATTGCAAAATGCCATGCAACTGTTAACTGTTTATTATAATTATTCTCCAAGGTGCTGGTAAGAGTTTGTTACTCTCAGTAACCAACAGAAGTTCCAATGGTATTGAGAACTGTCTAGCAAAAAAATTTTGATCTCGTATGTAACAAAACAGTGATGCTATTAAGCTATTAAATATTGCTATTGGAAGAATATTAAGGAGCAAAATGTTCAATGGAAAAAGAATTTGGGAAAAATGAATTTTGGGTTAGTGTCAGCTCCTTTAAGGCTGTGTGATTCTGGGCAAATTATGCACCTCCTCTGACTCTTCAGTTTTCGCACTGATAACATGAGTATAATAATTTGAGTATAACAATAATAATACAATAAAATGGGTATAATAATACCTAACTTGCAGGGTCAGATTATATTAAGTTAGGTAAGATAAAGTTCCTAGGGCAGAGCCTAGTTCAGTGGCAGGCACTCAGTGAACATGAACTATTATGATCTCACTTTGCAATGTTCTTTTCATAGTCTACATACTTATTTACCTGTATGTTCCCTACTCTATTTCTTTTTTGAATAGTCTGTCCTGTAGCCTCCCTGTAATTTACCAGACTAACCTGCACATAGGAGTCCTTTAAAATGTTTATTTAAACTACAAATTTCCTTCATTATGTCTACCTGGTCATAATAAAATCACTCATCCTTCATCTTGTGTAAGAATTACTTTATTGATCCTGTAAAGATATCCTATTCAATTTATTATGTAGTACTTACATAATGCTGACCATAAAAGTGATCATAAACATGGAGCAAAACAAGACCAAGGGAAAGTAAAAAAGAAATAAGAATAGAAAGAATTAAAGGGAACTTTAAATAGAAACTAACCATCCTAAGATTTAATGTGGTATAATACATCAATTTTTGTTTTTGTATATAGCTAATTTTCAGGATAGACACTTACTTCTCATGACTCATAAGTATATTTGTTTGTATTCTATGGAGGGAATCAGAGAGATTTTCTAAATTCCTTACTCCATCTCTTCAGAAGTATGACAGAAACAAAATATTCAGTTAAAACTATTAATTTTTGTTTTCCTGGATGGAAAAAGTGACCGTGAACAATGGTGTCTGAAGATTATCTGTAACTTATTTGCATGTTGTATGCAAATGTATGAAAGAAGATGCTACACAACTTCTCTTTCTCCAGTAATTTCAGCCTTTTCTCCACTTCCCCTTAAAAAGATGGTTGCCCTTCTTGTTCTAGTGAAATCCAGTATGTCCAGTTAAATATAATTGCCTCTGAGAATTCTCACATTATCTATGGGTGCTTCCTCCCTACCGCAACACCAAGTAGAAATAGTTTATCTTTCTCCCGTGTGTCACATCTTGTTTATACCTCCAGGCTCCTTAGCAGTTAAAGTCTCTACCCTCTACATGCTCCTGAGACATAGCACAATGGCTGGAATATGGCTGTCATTTCATGTATGAATTTTGACTGAAGGCTGTAGATAACTGAGCCTGTCTTCCCCTTATTTCCTAGCTTTTCTTAAAGTTTGCAGCGTGTGACAATGGGGTACTATTTTAAGAGTTGGGGAAGTTAGAATTGGGGATGGTGTTGGAGGAAAGACAACCATTTTGCTTCCCTTTTCCATCTTCCTTATGTTGTGTTATTATTTTAAATTATACCACAGAAACTTCCATTCCAATCTTTAAAACAATATTCTGTCAGCATTATGTTAGAAAGGGATGAATTTAGAAAAAAATTCTTAAACATTGCACAGACCACTGTGCAACAGCCTTATGTCTACTTTCTCCAGAAAAATCTTGAAGCTTTTTAAAAATATTGTCTTTATCTTCCCATGGTGACTTATGAAGCATGTTTAGGAAAATTTTATTTTAAAGGTCAGAGATTCCAATAAAGCCAGCCAAAATTTTGTGAAGTTTATAGAGTGATTAATTCCTGGAGTCCTTCATTTTCCAGCCCTTTAATTTGTGCAATCACATTGAATGTTCAAAGCATATACTGCTATTTAAACTCTTTCAAATACTCTGTGCCGAGTCACAACTGGCAATTCATAAATAGAAATGATTAACATTCCCCACCACAAAGATCCTTGAAGGAAACTAAAAACAAAAACAGCATCTTTGTTGAATCCAATCTGCTTACATTTCAACACACATAACTCCACTTAACTGGCCATCACAGCAAAAGCCACAACACACACACACACACACACAGCAGCATGGAGCTAACCACACAACTCAACAGACAATGCAGACAAACTTGAGTATAAACCAAGATTTTTCTACCTCTTTTCATAACAGGTTAGTGCTGGCCCTCAGTGTTGGTGTACAGTTTTTATGGCATGGGAAAATAGGGATGTTTCTGCCCTATAAAAATAAATGTGTTGAAGGCTTTAGTTTGAGTTTATACAACGTCAGAAAGTTCCAAAGGCACTGGCACAATACAAAAAGAAAAAAAAAAAGAATCCCACAAACAAATATATCACCAAAATATCACCAAAACACATGGCAAGATACTAGGAAAACAGTGGTAGGAAAACTACTGGTTTCCTGGATGATTTATGCAACAGTTTTCAACACCTTCCTGAAAAATAAAGCATAAGAGAGGCATGCTGGTGGGTCTTTGGTGGGGCATATCTTGTCACCGACCACCATTCATACCAAGTTTTTGGCTTTAAACTGCTCATTAGGTCATTTTCTCCCTGCAGAGGTAAAAAGCACAGAATCCTCATTGTTCTTTATCTTTTAAGCCTTAGGAAGGGCTAAGAGAAAGAGCATGTAGAAATGCATGCACTATTTTTAAGAAAGGGATAAATAGAATAAAAATTAAAATACAAAAAAATAATCATTTCTTCATTTTATATGTCATAATATACACTTCTTTCCAAACCTTAGTTTGATACATGTGGCTTTTCATGGATGACATCTTTACTCTAGAAAGAGTTGGGACAGAAAGATAAGCAGCAAGCACAAAGTTCTGAATTTGAATAAAGTGAGCGATGGGGCTAGAAATTGGGAAATTTTCCCAATTGGACTTAATGATTTCTAATTCCTCAAAAAAATAAAACTTACCACATTCTGTGAAAATTTCTCAAAAGATGTTCTGCGATCCATTGAGTGTTCCGACTTACATGAGTGGGGTGGGATGGGGCAAAGGGAAATAGGGAACATAAATAAAAAGAAAGCAAAGAAAACAGAACAGAAAAAGACAGGACAATGAAATGATGCGACAGCAAATCCATGTTCTAAATCACAGGGGCCAGGAAGGTAGAAAGCTGCCAAGGAAGGATTCTAGATACAGGGCATAGCCTCTGTTTTTATGAGTACTTTTATTTTTAATACCAAAACGCTTCCTATGCAAATAAAATGGCATGATTTCAAGCAAAATCAAATGACATTGAAATGAAATAGATATGTGAAAGTTTTACGCTGATGTGTAAATCCTACATATTTGAAAATCTAGTGGAATATCTTCCAAATTTCCTCATAATTTTCTGTTGGTACTAGATTTCTGTTGCTTACATCGATTCTGTAGAGGACTGCTGTCCAACAGAACTTTCCAAAACGATGGGAATTTCATTCTATGTTGTCCAGTATTTCAGAAGCCTTTAGCTGTGGCCACTGAGCACTTGAAATCTGGCTAGAATTTTATGTGCTTGTAATTAATTTAAATTTAAATGTAAATAACCCATGTGGCTAGTGGCTGCTGTACTAAACACCTGCAATGAGAGAGTATCTGCTTCCAGCTGCAAAGGCCATGGACTTTGAAAAATCCCATTAGCCTAGATGACAATCATGAATCACACAAAATTACAATTTAATCTCAAAATTTCAAGAAGTTATGGACTATTTTAACATTAAAAATAATGAAATGTTGGTTTTTATATTCAGATTTCCCATATCCTGCTTTATTGTTTATATTGATTATAAATATTAATTGAATAATGAGGTATATTGCCGCTCTTCCAAAATGTTTGGCTACCTTGTTAGGTGTGTAAAATTTATCACTTAGGGATACTAAGAAGTCCAGGATAAATGCCAAGTTAAAATATTCTGAAGGAACCATTATATATAATATAACTGTTTTGACAACTGTTTTGACAGCTATTATTGAAAAAAATGAGTCTATAGTTAATTATGGGGTATGTGGCTGAAAATATACGCTTAAGCTTACTGGAAAAAGAAAACCTTCTTCAAGTTTTTGACCTAATGATGTTGTTCCTTCCTTTTCATTATTGTAATTTTTATTTCTTTAAACTAGACATACAGAAGACTAACATGAAACAAGAAAACAGCTTCTAAAAAACGTTGTAAAGCATGAACATCTGCAGAAACAAACAAAACAAAAAAGAAAATAAGCAATTAACAAACAAAACAAAACACCTTAAATGGCCCTTATAAAATGCAAAGGTTTGGGGAAGGTCTTGGAGTGTGTTCACTTACCATTTGTCCAATACCCTGGGTTCAGCAGAGGGAACTACTCCATATAATTATAACTGAGAACCAGATCGAAAAAGGTCACAAAGAACCAATACCTTTTTCTTTGCCTGTAGAAGCTCTTGATAGGCACTGGATCTTATAAAACGTGGGTATGAATCACTTTTCATCAATTTGTAAATGTGCTCCTAAAAAGAAATAATGGTTGAAGTGCTTCTTTATTATTTCTCAGGGAAAATAAAATACTATGATAGGAATATAGGATATGGTCCACAAACAAATCTGGAGGCAGCTAAAGTTGACAATGTTAATATTTTGTGTTTAGAGAACACCTAAATCTTCAAATTTATTGTTTTATTCATAGATCAATATTTGAACTGGTTTGAGAGCTGCAGAGGAGAAAAATCACATCCAATCCTTTAAAAAAATGGAATTCAGTTAGTGGAATGTCATGAAATAATTTTAATCAAGTGGTTGATTTATATAGGTCATTTGAGAATATAAATCTGCTCTCTCTTAAAGTTATTCCAGGCCAAAAGTGAATGATGTGAAGTCAAGATTGAGTAATCATCCTAGATACCTTTGGCATCTACATATTCTTGGAGGATGCAGACTTACCAGATGAGTCATCTCTTTGGTGCAAATTATATGGAAAATTGTCATCCACGTCCACTTTGGGCCAGAGCACAAGTCCAAAAATAAGTTTTGGGATATTTAATTGCTAAATCTCCTGATTTGTATGCTTTTTAAAAAACTCCTTCAGTGACAGATTAGGTAAATATTTAAAATTTAATCCCAATCAGTCTGTAGTGCTCTATCTTGAGGATGAAGATTGGTAGATGAAGAAGTCAAGGAAAAAAATGTATTCATCCAATTCACTGCTAGCCCAATCGAGGTAGATTCTGCTTTCACCCACTGCAGCTCAATGGAGCATAAAAACTCCTTCATCTTTCTAGTCTAGTGAAATACCAGTTATATGCAGAGAGTATTGTGGATGTCCCAATCTCTCTTTGTTTGCAGAAAATATATATTTTAGGAAATGACTCACTTCCCTGATCTCAAACATACTGGCAATAATCTGGATTTACTCTTGCTCAATATTTAGCCTAAGGCTCATCTCCAAGAGTATATTTGGGACCCTATCAGAATTTGTTGTTGGAAAAGTGGGGTGATGCCCTATTTTGGAGTCAAGCTTTTTGGGATTCAAATCTTACTGTGCTCAAGATCTGCCACTTACAGACATATACATTTAGGCCAATTTATTCATCTTTCTGACTCTCATTTTTTTAATACATAAAAATGGTTGTTGTGAGGCCTAAAGGCCTTACGTTTAGCAAAGTAAGGGAGTTATCCATAGTAAGTTCTCAGATCTGCTTGAATATATGTCAGTCACACTTCTAATGCTTGCGTATATTAGTAAATTTAATCTTCACAAAACCTAAGTGAGGTTGGGAACCATTATTATGTCCATTTTAAATATGAAGAAGAGGACACACAACAGAGCTCTGACTAGAACTCAGCCAATGATGACTCTAGAAACGGCTTTCTTAGCCATTACACTGGGTCTTTTCTCAAATGATGCCAGGAATTTCTATTACTATATTTTTGAAGAAGAGGTTAAAAAAAAACTAGCAAAAACTGGAGTTAAATAGCTGAACTTAACTGAAAAAGAAGTGCAGGGTCAGGTGGTAATGTTTTCTGTAGAAAATTATGCCTTTTCATTTTAAAAAAGATTTTTATTTATTTATTTGAGAGAGAGAGAGAGAGAGAGAGAGAGAGAGAGAGCAAGCACAAGTGGTGGGGAGGGGCTGAGGGAGAGGGAGAAGCAAACTCCCTGTTGAACAGGGAGCCTGATGCAGGACTCCATCCCAAGACCCTGGATCATGACCTGAGCCGAAGGCAGATGCTTAACCAACAGCCACCCAGGTGCCCTATGCCTTTTCATTTTATTGAACGCCTAATAAACAAGAATATTTTTAATGCCACAGATAACAAAGAAATGTTCCTTTTAGGACTTTAGGAAGGTTAACCCAAACATTTTAGACATTGTTGGCTCTAGAAAAATGTTTGAAATTTTATCTTGAACTGAAAGAAAGATAAATCAACAGAGAAGTAAGCAACAGGGCTACAATTTTCATCCTGCTCTTTCTTCTGTGTATCTGTAATTATTTCCAAATAGAAGGACATGGCAGAGCCAGAGAGACTGGGTATCTGGTTAGCTGTTTCAGCCTGTGTTAGTTTCCTATACGATGGCTCCTTTCTTTTAACCAAAGCCAGGAGAAATGTACTTTCCACTGAGACTGCAAACAAGGAAGGGCATGTGTGTATCTTATTTTTCATCTTCTATATTTTATATTAGTAATGTTGTTATTTGCAAAACTAGATACTTTCTAGAACTAATATTCTTCTCCAGAAGAGGTTTAAGAAATTAAGAAGTATGAATGGTTTGATTTAAAAGCCAATTTCAGCATATCATTAGGAAAATAATATCCTCTCATTTCAAGTTTATTGTTCTTCTTGAGCACAATTTTTTAGAGAAAATAGAAATTCAGATTATGTCTAAAGAGGCAATTATGTCGTTTGAGAAAAAAAACACTAAGGAAATTAACATCTAATATAAATTTCCTTTTTTTTTCTTTTCACAGATTAAAAAGATAACTTGGAAAATTCATACATGCCTAAATCTATCATTTTATTGTATCATCAGAGACAAAACTGGCTTGAGTGTGACATAACTCTAAGCTACTTAGTTTAGTTCTGATAAGTCATCATAATGAATAATTTAAGAATGCCAGAAACTTAAAATCTCCACACTGGAAGACAACTTAAGATTTCAAATATGTGCTACTGAGGTGGGACCACCATTAGATAAGTGTTTTCTAACATACTGAGTGACAAAGTAGAAAATAAGTAAAATTGTTCCAATATTTCAACCATTCCCCTTTAAGGAATATTTAGGTAAAAACATTCAAATTTACAAAACATTCTCAGGCTCTAGTAACTGTTCTTTTTAACGTCTGTTTTCTTTTAAGTCAATTGGAGTTATTTTACATATAGTTATCTATTGAAAATATTAAGCCTAGTCACCAATTAAATGAAAATAAAGCAAAAATATGTCAAATGTTAACTTCCCAGGAGCACATCTGTGACTTACGGTGGTGAGGCCCACCCATATACCAACCTGAGCATCTTCAAATGTGTATCGTCCAGGCTCCTTCACATTCTGTGTTGTTTTATCGTAGCTCTTAGAATCCAAGTTAATGGCACTGGGGGCTCCTGGAGCCAGAAATTCTTGCCATATTTCTTGAACTCGGGAAGGGACTTCTCTAATAGGCCTTTTCTTCAGGTCCTCCACTGCTAGCCAGAATCTATGCAAAATGAAACACCAATCACTTACTGTGATGCCTCATAATCTGCAAATTCTTACATATTGACTGATCATACTATTCACGATAATGCATAATAATGAGTTCCTTTTTTCTGAGGGCTTCCCATAGATGGCCTTTTCTTCATTAGTTGTATTCAAAGATATAAATTTTTCAAAAGGAAATGTTGAAAACAATCTCTTTTAAGTGTTTGCTGTTAAAACCAGTTCTCCCAGAGCCCTGATTCTTATACTTTAATTTTTAGTAGAGCAAAATGGCACTGCTAAAAATCATTTAGAAAGGGAGAGGAGTTTGAAGGAAATTAGGGTGGGTGACATAGAGCATCTGCTTGGGGGGATGAAGTAGGGCATTATACTGTATTCTTTGGATCTTTTGTCCATTTGAGCAATGAGGGTTAGTATGGAAAGGATTTTCTGCTCTATCTGGCAAAAGAATTACAGTGAAGCTTTACTGGAATTAAAAGAGGACTGGATACAAGATCAGAAAAGGCCCTAGCTGGAGAAATCAGGGTAAGTAACTAATTTTAGGCTATTTAATTCAGAGAGTTATGAAATGACAGAAGCAACAAGCTTTCCAATGCCATTGTTTGAAAGGTTTAAATTTGTGGAGACATCATAGCAATTCAGAAGCTCTGAAAAAAACAAATATATACTGAGTTATTTCTAAATATATAAATATATACTTCTGCATAGAATATATATACAAAAAATATATATATACACTAAGCAAAGAACACTAGAACATATTTTGGTTGATAAGAGCAAATAGAAAAGTCTAATAATAAAGGGCCACATTGTATTAATGGGTTTAATTTCTTTAAATTTTGCTTTAAGTTATATGTTTTGGTTAGAACTAGAAATAATGTTGAAAAGATGAATATGTATATCATTATAATTTGTTAAAATGAAAAAGTACCTGAAAAGAGAAACTACTAGGTCTATGTTATCCTCAACATCATCCATTATTGCTCTAATGGCAGATGTAGTCATGCACAAAATGAGAAAATGGCCACAAAGATGAAGGGCACTGTAGGCTATAGAGTCTTAAGAGAGGTACATGACAAGAAGAACTTTCATAAGTATTTAGTTTTAATTTGGGCATTAATGAAAGGTCATAAATAAGCAACCAAGCAATTGAATTAGAGTTAGAATAGCAAATACTACTCAATCTAGTGAGTTTCTAGTGACCATTTTCCTGTAGATAGATGTAACAGTTGATTTAGACAATGTCTTACACATGAAACTACCATTACTGCTTTCAGAAGGGGAAGGCTCAAGACTATTTCTTCCAAAAATAAGAGATTTGGACACTGTGCAATCTAATAGGAATGGCATGTGCCATCTGAGGGAGCACAACTGTTGTAATCCATGCTCATTCAAGTTCACTCCAGCATGTTTAACACCTTAATCAAAAGAACTTTTTTGTCCTCAAGGAACCACTAGAGAAAAAGATATACCACTCAAATGGCTGCCTAATATTAGGAAGCCCAGGAGGAGCTCTCAAGGAATAGCTCAAACTATACAGTGTGGGAGTGCAGAGCAAGAAAGAACCTTCTGCTGGGCAAGCACTGGACTGGAAAAGGGAGTTCTAGAAAGCCGTTATAGACGCAATGATGTCTTAATGCACCTGAAAATACAGAAAAATTAATAAAGGATTGAGGAGGTATTAATAATGACATCTACACTAATATGTAAGTGCAGGCACTATTCTAAGTGGTTTAACTATATTAACTCATGCAGTCCCTACAACTCTAGAGTACCTGCTATTATTTTTCTCATTTTCAAGAAAAGATAACTGAGGATATGAAGATTAAGTTAAGGATGCCCACTATGAGTGTCCTAGCTAGGGTTTGCCTCTGGATAATTTGCAGTAGACGGCATGCTCATAACCACTCCCTTGAATGTCTCCCTAATAGCATCATCACCTTTCTTATTCTTGGCCTTACTGTAGGTGCTATGGTAACAGCAGAATGGAAAGAGCTCTGGTAAAATCCCAACTACTCTTAATACATAGTAGCTGGAATATGAGGAAGTAAGTGTATTTGAGCCATAGGTTCTTCATCAGTAAAATGGGTAATAATGTCTATCTTATTAGGTTTTCATTAGATTAAATAAGATAAATTATGTAAAAGGCACTTTTGAGGGCTTGACATATTTTTAGACACTCAACAATAAAACTCACATTGCTATGTTTAATTAGTACTTATGCTATGCTACATGCTTTACCTGAAAAAAGAATGAACAAAAACACACCAATGGATAGCAGAGGTTGTATTTGAGGAATAAGGAGTGATCAATAAGCAGTTATTTCTTGACGTCTTTTTTCTGTCTTAATACTTGAAGAAAATGCTCATATGAGCATCATATTTCTATAAAGAGCAGGTGCTTGCAGGCAGCTGCTTGATAAGATGCACTGAGACTTATTTAAACTCTATTAGCCCTGCCAGTAAACTGGGTTGTTCTGTTTCCCTTAATCTGTTAATCTGTTCTGTTTCTCTTATCTTAATCCCAGATACCTAAGCAGAAGAAGTGGAGCTCATATTTGGGGAGCAGTAGGGTATAACATATATTGGTTTATAGAAAGCCAAGAATGCCAATTACTAGCCAATCTGACTTGGACAAGATGCTTAGCCTCCCCCAAACTTATTTCACTTATCTGAAAATGGGGCAAGAATATTTACACTTCATTTTTGTTGTGATGATTAGATGTGTGATAATCAGAAATAGAAAACACAAAATATAGCATGGCATACTTATACAGTAGTGGATATAATTATAATGTAATATACATATAAAATATATCATATTTCTAATATGAAATGACTTAGCTAAAAAACTAGCATTACATAGAATTATCAAGATAAGAAATGGTTAAGGCTTGAACTGAGGAATCAACAGTGATTCAATCCATTCTTGAAACAGAGTTTGCCCATACTATTTCCTTTGCCCATTGCTTCTTCCCTCTTCCTTTTAGTGGATGGGGAGGTGGAATTTTGGCCCAGTTATCTTTTGACATCCAGGATATAGCCTGAAGCCATTTTTTTTGGATGCCTTTGCTGACCTCCAGCTCTGGGTTAGCTATCCCTCTATACTTTTCCAAGCCAAATAACCACCATTTTGTGTATTGATCTCTTCTCTGTATCCACCACTAGGCTGTAATTTTAATGAGATCAGGAACCATTTTTATTTGGTTAGTTGATATGGTGGGGCTCATTACTTGTTTATTTCTTCATCATGATACCAATGATGTCAGCACTTATTTAAAAACTTAGAGAATTAGAGGAAATTCCACTTCTTCATCGACTAAAAGGCTAACCATATCCTTTATCTCTGCTCTATTTTTTATGCATTCTTATACTTAATAATTGATGATTTGGCCTCAATATAAAAAAGAATCCTTAGCAACTTTAGATCTTGTAAAAGCCCTGTCAAGAAGGGTTCCCATGAACTTGAAAGAATAAGAGGCTGAATCCCAACAATTCACAACAGGCACACATATACAATAACATTCCTCCAGGTTCTGTCTGTGGTCATCTTGCTTAAACCATAGGACATCTGTCAAAGTTCTACATATTTCTGAATGGTTTGGTATTGGTATCTGTTAAATCACCTGAAAAGAATGTGACAATGCCTGGAGCTGTAGTGTTCCAATGAAAATAAATGAATGCTGAGGCCTCTCTGTAAATGAATTTCACAGGACTGCATAAGTCATGGGAAAGTAAATTAGGGTATCATGTTTCAAAAGAATAATGAATGGAAGAGTTCATGGAAAAACATTTTTATGTAGTGGAAAGTTATCACTCATTTCAGTAATCTTAAACAGAGGCCACTAAAATCTATTGCAGTGTCTCACATTTAAAAATTCAATTTCCAGGTGCCTCTTAAGTTAGAAAAATTTCAAAAATATGTAAGGATGATATTCACAACAGATGGGTAGAATGCACAGCCGTCTTGTACTAACAGCTCAGTGTGGTGTGGCTCTCACATGTCCTGAGGCTGTACTTAAATGTGCAAAGTGGATCAGCTGCCCCATAGTTCTGTTTCAAGTTCTCTGTAATAGGCCCTCAAATTTCTTTTCCTAGACCTTAGGAAGCAATATGCAAAGAAGACTAATATTTTTTAAAGAAGACTAATGTTGATAATAGTCTTCTTTAAATATCGATAATTTAACTACATAAATATTATTGACCATACTTCATTTTGCCATACATTAGTCCAACTATTACACTTCTTTAAGGAGTTCACTTCAAATGCATCAAATTTATATACTTATAAGATTAAAAGATAGTGTAAAAATAAACCATCATAGGAACTGATAATGCTGGACAGGCTTTGCCTTTGTTACCTTTTTTCCTTCCATCAAGAGGCAGAAATTCAGTGGGTTCATATCATCATCATGTTGGTAAGAGTAACTGATCTATTTAGTGCAAAATAATCAGACATATTACAGTAAGTCTGACATAGAATAAGATACAAACAATGTGTCTTACCTTAAATTTTCTGAGCTGAATTCTGATTCTAGAAATTTAAGGAACTGTTCTCTCCCAACTGGGTCTTTCAGTGCTTCATCCATGCCAAAACCCCATCGTTTTACCCTCTGTTGGCTTGGTTCTTTGCTATAGGAGATAAAACAAAGACAAATATATATATTCCTCTCGTTACCAATTCTATCTTCTGCGATTACATTTCCCCTTAGGATCATATATACCTTGAAGTTCCCATCTTTAACATCTTTCAGGAAAAAAAAATCTGACTGGTGGTTGGTTCTGTATGAAATTACTGAGGCATAAGTTAAGCATTCGCAGTGGTATCTAATGTTTATTGAGCATTCGGTGCTAAGTGCTCTAGATGGATTCTCTCTTTTAGATCTTTTTCTGCAACTTTATGAGACAGGCAGTATTACGATTCTCACTAGATAGATGAAGAAAGTAAGGCACAAAGAGAGTTATAAGTTGCCAATGTCTGGCAGGTAATAAGGGGCAATATTCTAGACATTTTGACCTCACAGCTCAATTCTTAGCCAGTGTATGATGCAGTGTTGAGGTGGTATGTTATACTTGGGGAAAATGTGTTGGGAACCAAAAGGCTTCAATTCTGGTTATACATCTGCTTTTGAAGAAATGTGTGACCTAATCCTAGCTGAGTCACAAGATTCTGGGGCGCAGATTCCTCATTTATAAAATCTAGAACTTATGGATGAAGAGTCTGCACTTGTCAAGCATTTAAGGACACCTGATGAAAATAAAAGAAAGAAAAGGTCCATAAACACAGTCTAGTGAGGTGCCACTAGATACAAAACCCTCACTCTGTAAAGTAAGAGGCACTGCTCATTTCATGACTCTGTCAGGATCAGTAATCTAAGTCTTCCCTTATCTAAGGGAAGGAAACCAGGAAGTCTTAAATTATGCTTTGGTTTTCTTAAAAAGTCAGTCTTTTTTTGTCAGATGTTTTAAGAGTGTTTATGGTAAGTTCATTTTGTTTTAAAATTGACATATTTGTATTGGGCTTATATAAGTATGGATTTAACATTCATTTTGCTTGAATACAGGGAGCTTTGCAGCCCTGTCCATTTTCAAAGAAGCTAAAAACAATGTGTTAAATTTCAAGAACTGAAGATCTCAACTCTGAATAGCCTATTCTGAAACTTTTGGTCCTCTAATTTGGTGCCAGTCCTCCAGAAATGCAAATCTGACCGCAAATCCAAGTATTTAAGATTCAAAAAACATTATCTTGAATGAGAACTTTATAGCATGGGCTAATAGAGACACGGAGTGAAACTGACCTTACAGTTATCAGCTATGGAATTCTTTTTATTTCACCTAAGTGCTGAAATAAGTGAAATACTTGAAGAGAAGAGAAAATGTCACATACCTTGCTTCGAGTTCCCAGAAGGTAGTATCATCAGACAGCCATGGGTTAGAAGGGTCAGGTGGCACAAGAAATGGGTCATATTCTAAATATTGTTCCGTGTAACTTAACAGGCTAGAGAGAAAAAATATTTTCATCTTCCTTAGTTTTTTTTTTTTTTTTTTTTTGGCTGAAGTTATACCCAGCCCAAAATAAGGAATATAATATGAAAAGGTCTGGCCAAGGAATTGCTTGCTTATAGTGAAAACCCAATAGCAGTTTTCATGTTTCAATAACTTACATGCATCAACTTATTGTGCATTTTGGAAGACAGACGTGGCTAAGGAGTCCATGTCTGCCCATGCCTAAGTCAAATGAGGCAACATCCCTCCATTCAAAGCAAAATGGAGGATGTCAGAGTGTGAAAAGCAGCGCTAAGAGTCAGTTCTAATCCTTGGTCAACCAATCCACTCGCAGCTGAACTGATTTTAGCCAACTTGGAGAATAAGTTAAATGGGAATTTTTGTCAAAAGTATTTATAGGAGTTAGGTAAAGGGGGAATCACTAACTATTTAAAAAAATCTGTGTTCAAAAAAAGAAAGAAAAGGATGGAGAGGAGAGGAAAGAAGTTGGACAGGTAGGATTTGGTAATGCTCCAAAGTGAAGAACACACGTGCCATTAATAACAGATTTAAATGAAGAAAAGGAAAATATCTAAAATTAAATATCTGTTTTTAATTCAAATTTTGAAGTCTTGCAGTAACTGAAAAGTGTGAATGTTAAGATGAATTTACAGAGAGGCTCTAAGCTGCCAAAAAGTAACTTGATGAACTGAAAGCTTCATTTCTCTTTTTCAGGAGTGAAAAATTCAACTCCTTGGAATTATCTTCTGGATCTGATTCTGGTTGCACAGGATTGGATCTCTACAGATTGAAGACAGAAATGATCATTCTGTCATTTAAACTACAACAGAAGAGTTCTTTGGAAGTTTTCTATGTACGAAAAGGAAAAAACAAAATAACATTTCTCTTATAGGATTCCATTTTTAGCACATTTGACTGTCACATGAAATTATTTTATTTATATGGGAGTCTTGAAATACTTACCTATCAGCAACTTTTGACATTTTTAACCGATGTCTATCTAACTGTATTTGCCAATATTTAATCTGAAAAGAGTTAAAGAAGTAGTTAAATAATTAATGACGTTCTCATAATTTTCAACTCTAACTTCTGACAGACTGGGCAATTCTAAATAAGAACACGTTCTAAGTCAGTAAAATTTCAAAGTCTCAAAAATCAAATGAGACGGCTCTGAAAATTCAAATGTTTGAATATAAACATAGCCAATATCACTTTTTTTTCAATATCACTTTAGAACAGCAATGAATTTGAGCATTCTGCGTGCTTTTGCAAAATGTAACTTTATTTTAAATGTATTGTAGAGATTATAAACATTTATTCATCATGAATGACCAGATCAGAATCACCCCAAATATTAAATTCAGAAAATAAATATATTTGTTATTTGTACTATAATTTCAAAGTTAATCCTACTTCCTACCACTAGCCCAAGAAAACATCAATGCTATGTGTTTAGGAATAATTTTATCAACATTTCAGGACAAACACTCACATAGGTATAATCATATATGGAAAACTTTCAAAATTACTTTCCATTCATGGTGATTATAAATATACTAGAAAAAGTATTATTGCACTATTGATAAACACAATAAAATATCAGGGGAAAACAATCCAAAGGGGAAAAAGCCCCATAACCAAAGCTGACTAAGAGATTTCACTATTATTTGATATAAGAGACACTAGTGTTTGCTTTGAAATGTAAGTTGAGCCAATACTAGTGATCAATTAGTGAAACAAGAAATGATGTATATAATAAAAGTACACCACTGTTAATGAGGGAAAACTTCAAGAGGCTTATAGAGAGCAGTTATGGAAAAATAAGAAAAAGCACTCTGTGAAGCACTCGTAAAGCATGTGACTTAACGTCACTGGCTTCTTGTCTTTTTATTCTTTAAGACGAGCTCCAGAGTACAAAACACCTCTTGAAATGGTGATACTTAAACATCAGTGTACATCCTTTTAAAAAAATGGTTGGGGAATTAAAGAGTAAAGAGATTTGAAAACCATCTCCATAGATTGATTGATACATCTTAAAATTAAATGATTTCACTAACTTTTAACTGCAAACGTTCTCTATGAAAGTTAACCATACAAATAACCTTTTAAAAATCTCTGCTATTGACATTCACCATGTAGTTTTCATAGCTACTACTCTGAAACCATGGGCAGGTCATTTTATAGGCAGACCCACCTGTTGTTGTAACTCATCTTCTGTTGGAGGTTTAGTTTCTGGTGTGGGTGTGTGGGTAGGACTGTGACTTCTAATGTCATTTTGTAAACCATAGACAGACTATATTAAAATAAAAAAGAAATATATTAGGACAAAACATCATTTATAGTCACAGACTTTCTAAAAGGTAATTTTGTGTTACATATTTAGCAAGGTAACTCAAAGCTTTGCTGCATATTTGATGAAACTTCTCATTAAAATTCGAAGGCACTGCTATCATAAATATCATATGAATATAAAATAGAAGCATAGCTCTTTGAAAAAATATGTGGTTAGATTATTAACTGTGACAGAAAACTGATTATGTGGAAAGAACATGGTAAGTCTGATAATAAGATTTGGGGATGGATTGAGACTCCTAAGTTGGGGAACAACAACACTATATAACATTTAATAGGTATTGATTTTAGAGTAAAATAGAATAGAATAAAAATGTAAAAGCTAAAAGAAAATGAAGTAATTTGAGTTTTACAGAATGGGACACTGAGGAAAGAGACTAGTTAGTAGTTCCATTGTTGAATTAGTCTCTGCTAGTGTAATCAAAGACACCCCAGAGCGCTCCAACTTTCCCAACTCAGCACTGGGTTGTTTTCCTATTCATACTGGCCTTGCCATTCAGTACCACTGGGGGTGCCTTTTGCAAACACAAGGGCCCCAAAGTTTTTATATATCGTTGGAATTCTTGATGCCCTAGTGCTTCTTTTGTATTTTGTCAAAAGGTCAAATCTACTACTTAGGAATGTTCTTTTTTGAGAAAGATGTATTACGAAGGCACCTGGATGGCTCAGTCCGTTAAGTGTCTGCCTTTGGTTCAGGTCATGATCCCAGGGCCTGGGATGGAGCCTGGAGTTGAGCTCCCTGCTCAGTGGGAAGTCTGCTTCACCCTCTCCCTCTGCCACTCCTCCTGTTCCAGCTCTCTCTCAAATAAATAATTTTTTTTTAAAGACCTTTTGCTTAGTAAGTATAAATAAAGATCTGGAGACTTAAAGAGACAAAACAATTTTTAACTGAAGGTGAGACATCTGTCAACTTAAGGGAGAAGCCAAATAACTTTTTAATATCAAAGAATTATTATTTTAAAATAAAGGATTTGATATGAGCTACAGAGGGCTTTTTGGACATGAGGATGAAAGATAAGGACATAATAAAACTTTATGAGCCCACAAAATTAAAGTTACCAGATAGGTTTGGAAGAAACTCTTGAAATCAGAAGAAGGTAGATCCAGATGCTTAACTGAGCCAGTTTAATTCTCTAAATTCAAATATATTCTCTTCTGGACCTATTTTCGCTCAGATTCTATCTTTTCTTAATGTTCACCTCTCGGATCTATACCTGGGCCCTTTAGACAGATTTGGTTTTTCCCTTGTAACTCCCCATTACTTTGTTCTTAGGCTTTCTTCAATAGATTTTGACTTGGCTTCAACTTACCTGAATCATCCAAATTAGACTATCTTTACTAAGCCTATCAATCTGCCCCCTCTTGACCTAGCCTCAACCTCTGTGAATGCAGGTTCTGGTACAAGGCAACCATTTCAACCCAATAAGCAGCACATATGCTGTGAATTAATTACTAATAGGATTGAACTGAATGGTTCATATATTATTTGTTCTTTCATTTATTCATTCAACATCTATTGAACACCTACTATATGCTGGATATAATGCTGAGCATTAGGGATATAGAAGTAAATAAAGATAGATATGTTTTCTCCTCCATTGGAACTCACAACTTAGTGGAGGGGAAACATGTTACACAAATAATCACACAAATAAACACATGATTAAAACTATGGTAAGTGTTATGAAAAAAGATGATAATAGGAGCATAGGGCCTGAAGTACAAGGAGACTTAAATTTCACCAAAGAAACAAAAGGCCTATGTGAACTACTAATAGTCATATTTGAACTTTGAACTCTGAAGTAACAGTTGAGGTTGACTTAAAAATTAGACAAGTAAAAGATAACCAATTATTCAATAACTGTAGACATTTTCCAATGTCTACAATTTTTCAGTTGTTTTATTTATTTATTTATTTATTTATTTATTTATTTATTTATTTATTATTTATTGGAGTTCAATTTGCCAACATATAGCCTAACACCCAGTGCTCATACCGTCAAGTCATTAATTTTTGATAAAGAAAATAAAAGGACTCTATGGCTTGAACACTGCATTCTTTTCTACCTTAATTTAATTACCTAAAGTTCTCTTTTTTTTTTTTAAGATTTTACTTATTTATTCATGAGAGACACATAAAGAGGCAGAGACATAGGCAGAGGGAGAAGCAGGCTCCCTTCAGGGGATTCGATCCCAGGACCCTGGGATCATGACCTGAGCCAAAGGCTGATGCTCAACCATTGAGTAACCCAGGTACCCTAATTACTTAAAGTTCTTAATAAGAATCTACACTCATGTAAAAAATGCTTATAAGGTAAGATAGCTGACTGTTTTAACAGTAAGTTTTTTGGTTAAGACTAAAAAGAATTAAAAAGACTGCTAGAAAAATACTGCATTTTATGGTTTCATGGAAGTAAAATGATCTATAAGCTATCTTATGTTTCTACATTTCTTTGATTCAGTATGCATGCATAGCACATAGGCTCATGACAGTCTATGTAAGATTTAAATCGCTGGGAAGTGGTGTTTAAAACAGTCTTCTAGCAGCTTACTGGCTCTGAAGTTATTGTGGAGTTTCCTACATGTTTCTTTATCATAAATGCAGGTAAACAAGAGTTCTCTCTTTCATCAGTCAGAGTGCCTTTCATTTTCTAGGGAACAGTGATAGCTTTTAACTTTGATTCTTGACCATAGTGAAAATGGCGATGTTTAATAAAGTTTTATGTACATGACTTATTTTATGGACAAAGGAGGTAAGGAAATTGATCCTATTCTGGCAGACAAGTTATGAGGATCATTTGAAATGTAAAAGGCTTTGAATCTTTTTTGAAAAAGGAAATATATTAAAATGTTGGGTGGAGTAGAGCTAGCAACAGATAGGACTGGAGAGGAAGAGACATGACATTGACTCTGTGGGGGAAAATAACCAATTGGGATCCATTTTGAGTTGTTAGCAAAGCTAGTTATTAATCAAGATGCTTTGACTTGATGAATATGTCCATTTATTCAAATTCAGCGTGCCCGAACCAGCTTTTTTTCACATAGGATACCATCCAAATGAATACTGGGTAAGCTGTTCATAAAATGAAACAGATCTGACTTTCTACATAAACCTGTTCAATATGATTTCCCTTCACATCTTAGGAGAAGTCTAAGAAAATGCTCTCCTACTTTTATCTTTGGCGGGAGAGAGGGCTTTAAAACAGAAAGTAAAGAGTGCAGGAAGCTTTTATGCCTTTCTATATGGAGTGAAATCTCTGGGATTTTTTCAACTGGTGGTGGAGGGAGGGGATATTTCTCTTTCTTCTGGATTTCTCAGCTCAACTAGAGAATGGATTGTGACCACATCTGCTGCCATGTGGAAGAAGCCAATGCAGAGCCAGGGCCAAGAAAAGAGGGCATGCGAAAGTGAGAGAGAACCCTGATGAGTCCCTAGGTCCATCACCTCTGAGGGCTACCTCTACCTCTGCCAACTCCCAAGAGTTTAGTATATGCCCTGAGTTTTGCTATTTTGAGCAGAGTATCTCTTGCCCATCACTTAATTGTACTTCTTATTTAAAACCCATTTGTGGGGATCCCTGGGTGGCGCAGCGGTTTGGCGCCTGCCTTTGGCCCAGGGCGCGATCCTGGAGACCGGGATCGAATCCCACATCGGGCTTCCGGTGCATGGAGCCTGCTTCTCCCTCTGCCTGTGTCTCTGCCTCTCTCTCTCTCTGTGACTATCATAAATAAATAAAAATTAAAAAAAAGTTTAAAACCCATTTGTGTTAATCTAAGACATGAATAATTCTGTTAAAATAAAATTCCACATTATGCATATAGAAGCAAGGAAATGACAAGTCTTTTTGTGTATAAACAGCTATAGCCACTGGGTTAAAAGCAGGACACAGAGACATTTAATTATGAATTTCCTAACTGTTTTTTCCAGAACGTGCACATTAGCTATTACCTAAAATATGAAGTGTCTTAATGCCTAAATAGGTGACAGAAAAAAGAAAATTAATGAAATAAGAAACAGCTTACTGTTGTTTTGAAACATGGGTTCTGAAGTTATAGAAAACAATCCAAAGTGGGGGTTTAGTCATGTATATACAAATGATTTTTCATTTTCCTCAGGTTTTGTGTTGTTCTAGGGCTCCTATACTATTGTCTTACAGATGGATCTATCCTGTGATGGTTAATTATATATGTCAAGCTGGCTGCACCACAATGCTCAGATATTTGATCAAACATTATTTTGGATGTTCCTTTGAGGATGTATTTTGCATAAGATTAAAATTTAAATTAGCAGACTTTGAATAAAGCCAAATGCCCTCCATAATGTAGGTGGGCCACATCCAATTACCTGAAGGCTTGAACAGAACCAAAAGACCTCTTCCAAGCAAGAGAAAATTCTGTCAGCAGATGCCAGTTCTTCCCTGGGACTCTAGCCACTGGCCTACCTCATCAGATTTGGGGCTTGGCAAACCTCTAAAACTGCATGAGCCAATTTCTTAAAATAAATCTTTATCTCTCTCTCTCTCTCTCTCTCTTTCTCTCCTGACCCCTTTGGGGAAACCTGACTAATACACAACCTGACCTATTATAATTAAAATTTCAGAAACAGGTTGGAGAAAATCAGGTACACAATTCCACTTGAAATTTGCCTATATTAGGCTGATTTCTTTCTGGCTATGCTATATTATCATTCCTTCACAGGGATATAAGGAAATACATTCCGCCTACTTCTTTGTATTTTAGTAAAGACAGATTTAAAAACTGACTAATCCTAAATACTTAAAAATATCTCAAATCAGATGTACTTCTAAGCCTTCTCTTCACATATTTGATAAACATATTTGAAATGCAACAATTAAATATAGCATTCTAATCCCTGACATTCTTTAGGTACATGTGATGGATTATTGCTTTAGGGATTTACTGGGTCCCTTATTCTTGTTAAGATATATAATCATGAGAAATATTGCAACTGAATGCCAAAGAAATGAACAGCAGCTCTCTTTGCTAAGGGCAGCATCTATTTGTAAAAACGAATTATAATCCATGGGTTCCACTTTCTTAGCAGCAGTAGTTTAAAACAGAGGATGGTCATACCACTAAGAGAATGAGCAAAAGACACAGCCTATTAGCTGTGGAAGGCAAAGACAGTTTCCAAAGGTGATAGGCTGGCCTCTGCCATTTCTTTTTTTTTTTAATAAATCTTTTTTTTTAAATTTTTATTTATTTATGATAGTCACACACATAGAGAGAGAGAGGCAGAGACATAGGCAGAGGGAGAAGCAGGCTCCATGCACCGGGAGCCCGATGTGGGATTCGATCCCAGGTCTCCAGGATCGTGCCCTGGGCCAAAGGCAGGCGCTAAACCACTGCACCACCCAGGGATCCCGCTCTGCCATTTCTGTCTAAGCCTTGCAACCCCACAGAATTGCCCACTCCACAAGGACAGAACTATGAAAGCTTCAGAGGATGATGGGACAGTTTCTTATTTACTGTGTAGTCTTTTGGTAATGAAATGGTGTGGTGATTTAGAATCCCAAATCATTCAACTTCCCTTGACAACATGTTATGGACTGAGTTGCATCCCTCTGAAATTCATGTTGAAGCCCAAATCCTCAATGTGACTGTATATAGAGATGGAGTCCAGAAGGAGGTAATTAAAGTTAACAGAGCTCATAGGGTAGAAACCTAATCCTATGGAGATGGTGTCCTTATAAGAGGGACAGACACCAGAGCTCTATCTCTGCCATGTGAGGATACAGCAAGGTGGTAGCTGTGTACAGGCCAGAAAGGGAGCTCTCACCAAAAACCCAACTTGATCTGAGACTTCTGTGAATAAAAAGATTCCCATTATGTAAGCCATCCAAGTTATGGCATTTTGTTATGGTTGCTTGGGCAGATTAATATATACCACTTAACACAATTACGTGGTGATACATATATAGACATTTGTCTACTTGTTCAATGTGTGGATTCTCATTAGACCATAAGTTGTGCAAGCAAGGTCATCCCTGTCCCATTTACCATCAGATATCTAAAAACCAGTACATACTTGGCATAAAGTAGAGACTTGTTAAATCTAATTGGATGGGTAATTTCAATAGTAACCAAGTATGAGCTAATGTAGTAGTGGCCATAATTCTACAAGATTAACCAGTATGTGACTTAGAGTCCTATAACCTTCTAAATAAAATAATATTATTTGTGAAGATTCTAGCAAATTCAATATTTCTCAGAGAAGCTATATATATAAAAGTAAAAACAAAACAAAACAAAACAAAACCAAGCATTATTTAATTGTTGAAAACAAGGGCATACATGCTACTTGCTGTAGTATTCTTCAGAATATTTGTTTTTCTCTGGTAATTTTAGGTTATAGAGCTCTGCAGCTAGATCCTGTAGTTCTACCATTATTGATTCATATGAAATTAGACCACAACTGAGACAGAACTCTGTGATTCCACCTCTACAGCATTTCACCTTGCTAGACCTAGTGTTTTCCCATTGTTAAGTGAGGGCTGATGATATGTGAGGCACAGCATTGCTCATTAATGCTTTTTAAGCTTTCAAAAAGCATGATGCCATATGTGGCAATGGTAAGATATCAATCTTGTGTAGAGTTAAGAACACAGTGTAAATGATGGCTTTCTTATCTTTTTTTTTTTTTTGGCTTTCTTATCTTTAAGTCCTATCTGTCCATCCATGTGCTTTCTCTTCTGAGTCAGAGCTGGGAAAACCTGACACAAAGTAAGGTATTATGAAAAATAATTCTTCAAAATTTAGAAGTAGTGATGGGTGGCTGAATGTGCTTTTTGGAGAGCTGATTGCAGCTCTGAAGGCTGTTCCACAGCACAAAGCCAGTCCCCAGGGCACTCAGGCTATGCTGTGTACAGAGGATGGTAGGAATTGCATGAGGCCAGTCACAGAAGAGCAGGGACAACAAACCTGCTCTTTCTCTGAGAGAGCTCCTAGAGGCAAAAGCTTTGAAGCACTGCACCTGAGAGGGTTTTGTGGCACTTTTCCTGTGGGTTCTTTATCCTGACATCAAGGTAAACTGCCTCAAAGAAAGAAAAGGTACTTGGCTATATTGGGGCCTCTGAAACATGATGTTTATATTTCTAGGGATATAAGGAAAAGACAACAAGAAATAAGACTACAAAAAAAAGTTTAGTGTCTATTGGAAAACTCTAATGCTACATAAGGAAAAAGCCATGAAAAGGAAGGTCTTGAACTTTGTGGAATGCTTTAATCCAGAGGTGCCAACCTTGGTCTTTGTCCTTAGCCCAGAAATACTGATGTGCATCAAGTGTTTTCCATGGAATGAATAAAAATGCCTTCTGTGTGTATGTGTTACTTTAAAAAAATATAGAAGTACTATTGGTGTGTATTTTTAACAGATTATTTAAAATGCCACTGAATTCTGGATAGCTTTTTGTTTGTTTATTTGTTATGTATTCTCTCACATAGCAGACACCAAACAAACATATAATCACTATCTTATGTTGTGACACAAAATTCTGGTGTTAAAAGGGGATCCTCACACAAACTCTGTAGTTATACACCTTTATGATGTCCCTTTTCCCCTCATAATTTTCTCCAAAAAATACCCTTCTTTCATCATATCACTTTTTCTCAGATAATCCCCATCTGTGTTTCCTCCTCCCCTGGGCTCTGAAAGAGAAGCCTTTCTTAACTGATGATCCTTCCCTCCGATGGTGAGAGGAGGAGCCCTTGGTATCCTTGCCCCCCATCACAGCCACCCGCCTGCCCTGGGACCTGCATGTACTGGAGAACCACGATGGGCGTTCTTTCTCAGTATAGACAGACCGACAGAAGACCAGGGCTTGAGCTCCCAGATTTTCTTCCAGCCAAGGAACAAGGACAAGCAGGGGAAGATGCTAAAAGATACTCCAGGAAGTGGAAGAAGGTTTTTATGACTGTTGTCCTCCAAGCAGTGCAACCCATACCAAGATCAGCGCAGCAAACGTGGATACTACCTTCCGTGTTTTGTGTGGGTTTCTCATTCTGGATGACTTCTTAATGTCCACTTCAGTGGTATTTACACATCCAGGCTAGAAATGGAAAAACAGAGAGACAAAGAAATCTTTGGTGGTGAGGTTTTTGATGCATGCATTAATGATGTGCCATCCACATACCTGACTGTTCTTTCTAAATGGCTACAACCACCCTCTCAGCAGAGCCAGTAAAAATATATATATATACTATACATTCATTCTTTGCATAAAAAGGACTTCAGATAATATTTTCGAAAAACTTCCAGAAAAATAGGAAAAGAAATGTATGGTCTTTGCCTGTGAAAATGAGTGTTGACATTAGTAGTTGCCAACCCAACAGACTCATATCAAGGGTGTCCAAAGACCAAGTGGATCATAGCCCAGCTGGTACCCGCACACAGCCCTGCTCACAGTGCCCTTCTATGTGAGGTGACACTGTTATTAAAAAGCTGTTTGCTTCCCAAGTTGGAAAAATACAATCTGTTGGCCCAGCTAAGTCCCAAAATGATTTTTTTTACAATGATTCATGAAATCAGGGGAATACTTGTTTTCCATGCATAGAATCGGAGTGTGGGCAGCCTGCTACTGGTTCTCTGACAACCTCAAAAGTATCTTTTTGTTGGATGTATTGTTCTATTGCACAGAAACACAGAGCTATAAAGCTTTGTTTTTGTATTTGGAGGAGGAGAGGGGAGGAGGAAAGGAGGAAGAAAAGAGAGAGATGGTGAGGTGAAGAGAAGAAGAGGGAGAAAGGGAAGGGGAGGAGGGAGGTGGTGGGAGAGAGATGGAGATGATGAATCAGGAAAAAAGAGAAGAAAGGAGATTCAAGAATATAGGAGACCTTATATCTGGAAAGGTCCTTAGACATCATTTACTCTTTAGAAGTGACTGGAAGGTAGTGGTTAATGTGGATTTTGTTTCATTAACTTTCAAGTTTTGGTACTGGATATAGGGATCTCTGGTGCTAGTAAAAAGTATTATGTTGTACAACTCTGCTCAGTTTCTCTATTTTTTTCCCCACAGATTGCAAGATCATTAAAACATCAGATATAATTGAAAGTGATTTCAGAGAAACTACGAATGTGGAAAAAGACTTTCACGCAGTTGGGATGTTGTGCAAGGCATAGGGGCAAAAAGGTAACACTGGCGTGATTCCAGAAATAAGCTGTTCTCCACTGGCAGGCAAGGGGGTTCAGTCTCTGGATAGGGAGGATATAGGGCATTTTCTTAAAGCGCCCTGTCCTGATAGCACAGCCATTGGGGCAAAATGCCACTATAGGAGTGTAAGGGATAAAGGAGTAAGTAAGGAAAGCCTTTTTTTCCTGATTTTTTCCTACATATGTTGCATGTGAAATATACAACCACAAACACATAAACACATGCGTGTGCAGACACACACACACACTGCACTAAAATGTTAAATAAATCACAAATTTGGTTTGCATATCTAAATAGAAATAGCTGGTTTAGCACTATGGTCTGCTTGGCAATATAGGAGGATGAGCACTCACCTGGGTGGGGTGTATTTACTAACTGACACTCAGCAATTCACTTTAGCTACCCCAGCATCAAACTGATCAATATCTGATAATCTGATTTATTTTTTCAGTGGTTGGTCAGGGAATGAATATTTTTAAAAAGACCCCCAGTGATTTTGATATGCAGCCAGGATTCACAACCATGATCCAGATGTAACAAAGATAATGTGAGGAAAACATTAAAGCAACATTAAAATGTTTTCATTTCCTATTAGATTTCCATTTCCTTGCAGCCTTCCATCTGTAAGCCTCAGTCCATTAGGAAACAGTGAAATTCTTTAAGCTGTTATTGATTCAAGAGCCAAGTATGGTGAGACAGATCATAGAGATCTTCTTCTACATGTTAAGGAGTGGGAATAATGAGGATATGATATAGAGGAAAGAGAAGACATGACCTGGAGAAAAAAAGACCATTTATTTTTTATTCAAGAAATGTTTATTTCTGCATCTAATTGCCAGATCTTGTGACAAATGGTGAAATACAAGGATGAATGCACGATCTTCTAATAAGCATGACAAAATGTGAATCATCACAATATGGGAGCACAGGATTGGAGAGAAGTTGGCATGGGCATTATTCAACAGAACATTTCATACTTCCATTATTATGTACATCCTCTTGGTTCCCACCAACATGGAAGATAAATATATATTTTTGGTATTTGAGCAAATTTGATCTCAATAAGACCACGTGGTCTTTTGTTATTTTAAAAAGGCAGTCATCTTTTTAAGGTATAAATAACAGGTACCACTAGCTGGCACCAGATCCATGTGAAGTGTTATACCTAAATTGGTTTTCTGTACTACTAAACACAGCTTCCCAATGAGATATAAATAACATTACCATTACCAAGTAAGCACTCAATAAAAATGTTCAAATATGTGCTACTGGCCAGATATAATATTAATTTCATAGTCTTGTTCAATTTAAGGAATAATAATGAAGTAATATTTACATTAGCCTAGAAAAGAATCACAAGTTATTCTAGTGATTCAAAGGTGTATTTATTTTCAACAGAATTAGGCTGCATTGTGACATTACTGTAACCCTATTTATTAAAAAGTAGAGTTTAATGCCTTGGAATCCATTCCTGAAGTAACAAAAGGATATTACTGAGAAATATTACTGTCATAGTGCTCATGTAAGTGTCTTAATGAATTGCGAACCAGAGCTGAAAATTTGGTTTCATCATTGATATTTTACTTAAAAGAATCTGAATACTATTCAGTTCCCATCATGGCAAAATGCCATTATTAGTTGTGGCAGAGGGCACTCTGTGCTCAGGATAACTTGGGAAAGTTGAGGACTCTTGAGTGAGGAGCAGCATGAAGACACAATAATAGAGAACCACTCTTTTGAATCCAGTGGCTGAAGTGCAAACAATGTCCTAAATGATAAATGAATGCAGATTTAAGAATGAGGTGGCAGACAGAACTGATAATAAGAGATACACATATTCCTGGAAATTAGAAAAAAGACATGATCTGGGAAAATTAATCTTTTGAATATTGAATATTGAGATATTTTGAATAATTATTAATTCAAATGCAATTAAGTTACTGGAAAAGATTTGTCATTTTGTAACTAACACAGTACAAGTTTTAAAAGTTCAATTTTCAATGTATTGTACTTCAGTGAAAATGATTCCTTACCCTTACATAAAGTGATTACAGATTTTAGAGTGTTTTATCTCAGGATAATTTTTAAACATTGAATTGATGCTTTTATTTCTGTCCTCGGGTCATTGAGGCTTACTAAATGCTCCATGCAAAGGAAGTTGTTGAAGGAAACTGCTCCAAAATTTTTTCCATTCAACCTCCTCTATAATATTTACTCATTTGGTTACTAATCAGCCTTATTTGCTGGGCACAGATTCTGGATTATGTAATTCTGCTTTAGCACAAGCTGTGAACGAATTCTGATAGTCCACAGATAGAAGGAAGGCTCTGGCAGCAAAAGGGAGAGAAATGTACCATGACATCTTGGAGCTGTGGATAGTGGTCAGGCCAGGTAGAAATTGCAGCCCATGGTAAGGATTTCAGTTTAAGTCTAAAGATAAGTGGAGGTCATAATGTAAGTGGCTTGATATGATTTATACTTTTAAAAACTCACTGTGCCTTTCACAAAAATTAACTCAAGATGGATCACAACTTAAATGTAAATGCTAAACTATAACCCTACGAGAAGATAAGCATAAGAGAAAATCTAGGTGACCTCAAGTTTGGTGATCCATGAGAGAAATTTTTGATAAGTTGGACTTCATTAAAATTAAAAACTTCTGTGCTATGAAAGGCAAGCCACACTGGGAAAAAACATTTACAAATGGTGCATTCGATGAAGACTGTTATCCCAAATATACCAAAAAACTCTTGGAACTCAACAATGAGGGATGCCTGGGTGGCTTAGTGGTTGAGTGTCTGCCTCTGGCTCAGGTCATGATCCGTGGGTCCTGGGATGGAGTCCTACATCAGGCTCCCCACAGGGAGCCTGCTTCTCCCTCTGCCCATGGCTCTGCCTCTCTCTATGTCTCTCATGAATAAATAAATAAAATCTTAAAAAAAATAACCCTAAACAATGAGATGAACAACACAATTAAAAAATGGGTAAAAGGAAAAAAAATGGGTAAAAGGTCTCAACAGTCACCTCACTGAAGAAGATATATAGATGGCAGAGGTGTATGAAGAGATGTTATATATTATGGGTCATTAGAGAATTGCAAATTAAAACAAAGTCGAAATACCACTACACACTTAATAGAACAGCCAGGATCCAGAGCCCTGACAACATCAGATGCTACAGGGCACATGAAGGAACAAGAACTCTCATTCTTAGTTGGTGGGAATGCAAAATGGTACAGCCCTGTACTGGAAGCCAGAGACTGGTGTTTTTTCTTCTTCTTTTTTTTTGTAATGCAAATGCTTGATTCGGGCTTTGATGACTGAGCAACCATTTCAAAGAGGCACCCACTTCAAAGACCTGCTATCTCAAAGAAACACATCTTCAGCTACTCCATTCAAGAGGCAGGCTGCCTCCCACACTGAAGTTCCTTTGCTTTAGAGATCTTGATTGATTTCAACAACTGATAAGCTTGGTCACTTGTTTTTGTTTTATTTTTGGTCTTTCTCTTCCAGGGCTTTAAATTCCTGTTCTTTTAATCTTTTAAATTCATGAATAAAAAGGGAGCCTATGAAACCTTAGGCCTCCAGTCTCAACCCCAGTAAAAGTATTACCCCAGGCCCATGTACTCCCTTGTCTCCTCAACCTCATTACGTGGCACTAAATGTGCCATGTAATTACCGGGTTCTGTACATAAGTAATTCATAATTGCCAGAACGTGACGTCCTAAAGTATGTGAATGGATAAATGAACTGTAGTATGGAACATAATGAACAGTATTTAGAGCTAAAAAGAAATAAGCAATTAAGCCATGAAAAGACATGGAGAAACCTCAAATGCATATTATGAAGTGAAAGAAGTCAGTCTGGAAAGGCTACACTGTAGGATTCCATTATACGACA